TAATGAAATTTTTATCTTTTTTTTTAAATGCTTGATTAAAAACATCAAATAAATAAATAATATAGTTTAATTTTTTAGATAGAATATAAAATATAATAATATATATAATGATTAATAAAATTTAAAAAATAATAAAAAATAAAATGTGGTTTAGCCCGCCAATGACAGGTTATAGGTTAAACAATACAGGTTGAAAAATTTTGTTTACTAACAGGTTGATTTTTAATCAACAATAACCTATCATTTTTTATAGGTTGGTAGGTTAGACACACGAGTCGAATTTATATTACCAGCTCTACCTACCACTTTTTTATTAAAATAATTTTTTAAAAAATTGAATGACGCATCCCATGTTATTTCATAATCATTCCTCTTTAGAATGATTTTGAGTGTAGTATTTAAATAAATAATTTTTGTTGTATAGTATCTTGATAATATTAATTTCTGTTCATAGCTTTTTGGTTAAAGAGCTGTCATTTATCCTCTAATTTTTCACTCACCCTAAAATGTTTCGTAATTTCTTCCATTTATCTTTTTTTTTTCCAATAACATCCATATATGTCATCTCTTGCACAACGATTACAACATGATCCATTAGTTCACAACTCATTGCCATGCGTCCCTTCCTTCCTTCCTTTCTTTTTAAATATGATTATTTGATATCTAATTAATTTTCTTTGCTTAAAAAAAGATATCTAATTAATTTTCTCCTATGTTTTTTATTTATAAAGTTTCAAACCTATGCCCGTAACGACAGTTGATGTCCCGCTTCTATTCCTTGCACGTTGTAATGCTATCTTATACTTATTCATAACAAATCTACTGATTTTCTAGACAACCTATAATTACATCGCAAGAATAAATCATATAAAACATGCTACTATTTTATATTTAACTTAATTCATAAAATAATATTGCCATGTCACAACCGGACCCATCCTTTTCAATAATTGAAAACAATGGTTTAAAAATTAAAAGTTAGCAGTTTAATTTGGCAGTTTTAAAAAATTACCTAAATATTATAGGGTGAAAAATATTCACCCATATACTACATTTTTAAAAAAGGTTTTCACGGCTTGAACAACTTTGATACTGACACCTCTTTTTTTAAAATGAAAAATGGAACTCGTTCCGGACTCTGCCATCTCCATATTCAGCAAAAATTATAGCTAATGCCCCCACTTCGTCAGCCTCTGCCACAGCCATATTTGTATATGCCTTTTGAGTTTCGGGAAAATTATAATTAATTACCCCATCCTTTCATAACTTCCTCCTCAAATTTTCCTTTGCTTTACATTTCCTCCCAATTCCCAAATAGAAGAGATGCAGGTAGATTTTGTAGGAATACTACCTTTTATCCCAATAATTAAATTTATTAAAAAAATTAAATAAATATAAAAATATTTACATGTATGATCCATTATATCCAGAATTTACATATATTTAGCTATAAAATATACTCTTGATTTTAATATTACTCAGTTGTTCTTCTTAATATTGTAGCAATTGAGTTTTTCATCTTAATAATATTCTTGACTTTAATATTACTGAGTTTTTGTTCTTAATAATACTCCTGATTTTAATATTACTGACGCATGCTTTATAACTAAAAACGCTGTTCAATTTAGAACAATTTAGAATTAGCCTGATCATAATTAATATGCATAATTTAAAACAATAATCAGTAATATTGAAATAAAAAGGCATTAATTTATAAGTAAATGAAACATTCATATATATCATGACACATAATTTAATAAAACGGAGTTATTAATACACAAATGTAATTTGACGGACTGTTATTTTTAAAAAAAAAACTCAAAATAACGTCATTTGAAATTTAAGAAAAAAAATAAAATTCACCTCGACGAGTTCGTCCAAAACTTTTACCTGTCCTGATCAAGAATTTTGCTCATCAGGTCAAACCAAACCACCTGAATTGAGTTCTAATACTATCATCTTTTCGTACTACCTATGGTTTGGTTCCCCATATGAAAGATAGTAATAAGCAATATTGTCATTTAATTTATGAGTAAAATACATTAACTATCCTTCTATTTTATTTAAATTACAGAAACCTCTCTTTTATTTTGAAAGCATATATAAGCTTCCCTTCAAATTAAAATATATGTTACACAAACCTTCTTTATATTTTTAAAATTCAATTTCCATCTATCCAACCATTAGTTGATCGTTAAGTTTGACTTTTAAATTTTTATTTTGACCAAAATATCCCTCTTTAACATAAATATTATTTAAACATTTATATTTATAAAAAAATTATTTTTGATACAACAAAAAATAATTATAATACATGTATTTTCAAAATTTTTAATATGTTATAAAATTTTTAATTTCAATTATATTATAGAATTATATAATTTTAATTCCTCATGAAATATTAAAACTTAAGTTTTTTTTAAATGCTAGAAAATATTTTGATTGCTTATTTTCTTATCACATAATATAAATTATACAAGTTTGGAAACTTATATAAATCATTTAAATTTATGTTTCTATTAACTAAATTACTTAATTTTTTGGCCCAATATGATAAAAACATTAAACAAACAACAATTTTTAAAAATAAAAAAAATTAAGGTAAAAGAGAAAATCTTAAATTCTTTAATATAGTTTTAACCCAGATTTTGGGATTTAGTATTATGAAAGGTAATTTAGCAAATAGAAAGTATTTCAAGATAAATTTGAATTAAAAAAATATTTTTTTTGAAATATTCCTAACGGAGTTAACAGTTTGAATTTGAATTTATGTTTTCAAAATAGAAGAAAGGTATGTATAATTAAGACAAAATATAAAAAAAAAAAAGTTAGAGTATTTTACTCTTATTTTAAACTAATTTAGTTATTTTAAGTATTTTATTAAATCACCTTATAAAAAGAACCGGAAGAAGCATCTCGACCGGTTCCCATGAAGAAACAAAAGTCTTTGGACATAATAGTAGATTTTTTTTCTTACTAATTGACAAGTGATTTTGTCTTTCTCGTCTTCGATAATTTTAAAATACTCCACAAATGGGATGGCCTTATCAATCAATCATCAATCAATCAAATGAGTCATCCATTGATTTCGGACGGGACTGACAAAACCAATATTCTTCCATATCTTCATAATAACAAATTAAAAAAAAATGTCATTGTTGGTTGGAAAAAATCTTGCGCATGATCTGGGTTAAGAATTTTAGGATTAGTTTATACGCCAATCACTGCCCCGTTTGGTAGCATGGAATTGGGCCTGGAGAAGTGGAAGTGAAAGTGGAACTCTGCTTTTGACTCGTTTGGTGTCATGAAACTCAGTTCCTCATGGAACCCAGTTCCATCAAAAATGATGGAAGTGGGTTCCATCATCCCCCAAGGAACTGAGTTCCAGCTCCTCGGAACTGGGGGTCTTCCCATTTTATCCTTTGGCTCCATGGCAACCTTGATCCTCCCCCATCAACGGCGGCAACATTCCTCCACCATCAACGGCGGCGACATTCCTCCACCATCAATGGCGGCGATGCTCCTCCACCTGCGCCGATCCTCACTACACCATCGATGGGATCGTCTGAGGAGAGAAGGGGGGCAAGAAGGGACGAAGGCAGGTGACCCATGAGAATAACCTCCCACACTCCAGACCACAGCTTTGTTCGACGGCGACCTTGACAACTTCCTTCACAGAGAAAACCAGGCGCATTGTCGACAACCAAAAGAGGGATGTTTGACGACGGTGAGAAGATAAACGATTGAGAGCAAGAGGTGGTTATGGGCTTCGATGGAATTTTTTTTCTGCGATTTTCAACTTGCTTTTTCAAAAAATCCATCATCTTTGCTGGTCTGGTTTGTGTTTTTCAGTGATAGTAGCTCTTGGAATCATTAGCTTCAAGCCACAAATTTTATGGCCACCATTGATGGCAGCGAAGCTTTGTGGGTGGTGGGAAGAAAGAGTGTTCGGCTAATGGAGTGATGGGTTTACAGTTTTTTCCTTTTTTTTTAGTTTAGGGGTATTTTGGTCTTTTTACATTGAAAATATATAAATTAATGCAACAATTCCACCAACATACCAAATACACTTTAAAACCCACTTCCATTTCCAGTTCCACCTCCACTTCCATTTCCAGTTCGACTTCCATTTCCATCAGAAACTCTTCCATTGTACCAAACGGGATGCAAGTTCTTCGCTCAAAACTCTTCAATTGCCTATTTACCTATTTCCTTGACTTCTTGGAGTTGGACCCAATAATATATTTACAAAAAAATTTGTTAAAAACTATGCTAGTAGACAATAAGCTATTTGAAATGCTTTTAATAAAAATGGAATCTAAATGAGGCTGTAAATAGGAATGGGAATATAAATACTTTTGATAGAACGATATGAAATTATGCTTTGGTTATATTAGAATTCTTGTTATTACTTTTCAATTAATAAAAAAGAACTTTTTGTATTTGAAAACAAAAATAGTAATTAAAATGTTCTTCTTAATATGTAAAGTATTCATCTTTCATTATTCTGTAAAAATATTTGTAAGGGTGTTTTGGTCCTTTTATTCATAATTCTAGGAAGTTTGAATCTGGGTAAATAGAATAATGAACAAAATAGTCAATCCAACATGTTTTCCTTTCCTTTCCTTGAGTAATCATTCCCTCAAACGGTCAAACCAAACAAGCCCTGAGAGCTAATAGATTGTGATGACAATCATGCTTAAGTCAAGCGTTCAAACATTTTCCAAAAATCAAATTATAACAGCAAAAAATGAAAATATTAGCAGGTTTTGATTAGATATAGACACAAATAGAGTAATAATCTCGCTTACCAGATAGCCAAAATAGCTCACAGAATAGCCGGTAATTTTTGTATCTTTCATCACTCTCGACCTCTTGATTAATGAGAACAATTAGCTTGAGAACAATTTGTTGTAAACTTCTGATTAAGTAATGAAGTGCCATTTCTTTTTTGGCCAAAAAATGAAGTGCCATTTCATTAAAAAAAAAAAACATGTTGGCACCAATCATTCTTGGGATTTGATTTGGGCCTCATCTCAGAGTTTTGAAAGACGCCGTATGATAGTGGGCCAAGAGTTGGGCTCAATTAGATTGAGCCCATTATTCTCTTTAATCTCAAATACCCTCTTCTCTTCAACAAATTTGTTTTCTAAAAGCTGGACGGTTTCTGAACAATTCATTCTTTTTCAATTGAGAAAACTTATCTTTAAATTCTCCCTTAAGCAGGTCTACCACCTCAAGCATGGTGGGTCTCTCCTCAAGCTGACTTTGAGCACATACAACTCCAACAAGAATCAGTCTTTCAAGTTCTTCCTTCACAAATTTTCCCTTTAGTTTTGAATCTGCAAGCTCACGAAACTTTTTATCACAAGCCAAGGGAAATTCCCATTCAGATACTGATACGGCACTTGGTCTTTTAATTGGTCTCTTGCCGCTAGCAAGTTCCAGCAAGAGAATTCCAAAGTCACAGACATCCCAACTCTCTAATGCCTTCCCAAACAAGGTATATTCTCGCATGAGGTCCCTGACAATTCCCTTAATTTTGATACTCTCATGGGTTTCCCCAATTAACTTAGCAAATTCAAATCCTGAAATCCGAGCCTCAAAATCTGCATCCAGTAGCACATTGCTTGCTTTGATACCTCTATGGATTACTCGTGGGGTTGCTTGGTGGTGAAGATATCTGAAAGAAAACAAAAGGTCACAAAGGGGTTAGCTAAACATGATGTAAAACTTAATGTTCTTATATATGTTGTTGTCTGATTCAATATCTATGATATTATCTGTGTTTTTCAGATGAAGGAAATCAAGGCTAAAACTTACGCGATGCCCTCGGATAACCCAATTGCGATGTTCATCCTTTTGTCCCAGTCAAGAATTCAGGGTGCTGTATATGAAGATGAGAGAAGAGGCTCCAATTTGGCATATAGTCAAATACAATTGGCCTTTCTTGGCCCTCAGCACAATATCCTCTTACACCAACAGTATTCTTGTGTTGTACTCTGGCCAATATTTCAACTTCAACAGAAAATTACTTGTTGCTCCAAACTTTCAATCTCTTAACTGCAATCTGTAGAAGTACATGGATTTACAGAACAATGAACTATTTTAGGTTCACCTCCAAATCACGATAAGAAAATTTAACGTATATATTCATATGTGGAAGAGTACCTTTTACATATCGCCACAATCTTGGCCCATACAAAGATTTCACCCTCAGATTTTCAATCAACGAAGATATATAAAAATTTGCAAAAGATGCTTCAACATCAAGCCACAAATATTAACAGGCCTCTTCAACTCAGCAAGTTTTTCAATGCATTTGCTACATGGATCTTCATAAGTTAAGGCAAAACAAGGTAATATTGTCATTGATCTAGAGGAGAAGTAATCTTAATACAATCTAAAGTGCAAAATCGATATATATTTCATCCAAGTAGCTTTTTTTAGTTCCAACTAACTTATAAGGCTTCTTAACATTATTTCAAACATGCACATAGTTCAGTGAGTTAGCTTGCACACTAAGCCATACGTAAACACAAGCAAAATCATGGCCTTGGACCTAAGCCCAACCACTGCAACATAAAATCTTAACAATTCCAAGTAACTGAAAATTTATATCTCCCTGTTTCATTGAGCTTTTGATCAATCTGTCGTGCAAAGCATTCCAAATTCCTGTGTTCCATGCATTTTCAGCAGAATAAATGACTGCTTTGGACTGTTCCTTGAGTGTCCTAGACCATCCCAATAATGGTAAAGAATAAAGATAGTGGCCAACTCAAACTCCAAGTGAAAACATTATGAGGATCTACCAGTGAGAGCAGACTTATAATTTAGCAGAAGCAAATGATATTTATGGCAGAAAGCAATGAAATCTGCAGTAAGTATAATTAATCACCATAAGTCCACGACTTCTTACTGAAGATATGTAATCACTTTACAATTAGGAAGATTAAAAGGAAGCAGAAACTGAAGCTGATTTGATTTCATGCGACAAAAACAAACAGAAGAGAAAAGTTATCATCTCACTTGTGATCCATCCCGAAGCTGGCCCCGGTAGACGCTGCCAAATTCTGCTTCTTCAAGCTTGTTATCATAGTTAAAGTTATTTGTTGCAGAGAGCAATTCTTTCAAAGAGAAGACCCTCCATATAGGTACTTCCTTCCCTTGTTCTTTTCTGCATGATGGAGAATCAAATATGAATTAACCTTGGAATTACAAACAGTAACATATGTGTTTAAATCTGAAAAATGTAATTTAGGACGCCCTTAGGCTTCAGATAGAACAAATATTAACAACTATTCAGCAATTCTGTATTTTGCCTCCTAGCTTTACCCAGCAAACTAATGATCAATAGATTTTTCTTGCTCGTACCAGGAAATCCAAACGCGGAAATCAAACCATCTCCAATTCTCATTTTGCACCTAAAACACAAGATAGTGCCTGAAAGCCACTTTTCACAATTGTCTGACGCAAATCCAAAAATGATTGAGTAAAAGGCAGCAACCATGCAATTTTTTTTTTTTCTTTTCAATTTTTCCTCTTAACTAACTTACCGATCCAGGCCCTTCGCACAGAAAAATATTGGGCAAAAAGCCATGCCACCACCAGTCACTCTCAGCTTCTCCTATTTCTCTCAATCGATCCTAGGGAGCGAGAAAAATTTAAACTTTTAATTGAACCACAAAACAGAACCGGATTCTTTAAGTTCCTCCAATCCAAAAGTTGATTCTTTCACCGCATTCTTTCTTGCGTAGTGCGTTCCATCGTGGAGGAAGACAGGGACGATTGTCCATTTGCCAAAACGAGAATTCGATTCGATTCGAGAGTGACCAAACTCCAAAGGCATGTTACGTTAAGTGAAAGAAAAATATTAAGGGAAAATTCCAAAAAAATGACTGTTAATTTTTAAAATAACAAATCAGTATTGGTTATTACACTTATAAAGAAAATGACTACATTTACAAAGTAAATAACAATATATTTTTGTAGTAATTCTTGATTTGTCATTTTAAAATTCAACAGTCACTTTTTTGAGATTTTTTCAAATATTAATTGTCAAAGGTATTAAAGAAAAAGAGCTAGAATGAATACTTTTATCAGCATGGATATCATGGTCTTTTCACATCGTATTTATACGTGAGGGCATTTTGGAAACGAACCGACCCAAATCGATCTACTCCTTATTTTTTCCAGTTTGATCTCACAATATTCTCTATGAGAGTAATCCCAGCGAAACCTATAATGAGTCAATATATGAAGGCAAAGTTATACATAGTAAAAGAGACTAGTCGTTAACAATATAACAAACCAAATTTTGAATTCTTGTTGAGAAAGATGCCTACATTTTAGTTCCTAATAATGCCTCAAATATGATTGGTTTCAATAGGAGAATATTTGCTTTTTAATAATACTTCCAGTACTTGATATAAAACCCAGTTGTGGGGAGAGTAATAAAGTTACTAAATTACTTAGTTATAACATATGTTACGTGATTTTTTTAAAATATTTATATAAATAATTATATTATTTATCAATTTATTAGTGAGGCAAATTAGTTTAGATAAAAATGATAAATATAAATACTTTAAAGTAATTTAGTAATTTTTTTAATCTCTCCTCTCATCAACTCCAGCTTACATTAAGGGCCAGAGGTAGTAATAAAATGGGCCAGTACCAAAGACCCGGAAACATTACATTGGGCCATGAAAAGCCCACACGCTAACCGTGATCACGCTTGGATGTCATTGTCCTCATGAACTGCAAGCTTCATTCCCCACCCATTTGAACCAAACCCAATAAGATGTTGAGCCAGCCTGAATCTTGTCCCAAATTGAACGTTAATTGATGTCTTGACGTGTCATCATTGGTACGTGGCAAGCCTATATCGCGCCATGTAATACCTCAAACCTTTGCATAAACGACACGTTGTGCCGACCATAACACAAGAAGAAGCAGCTCCTTCCCGTATCTTTATACAACTACATAAAATTTCCCGCTGGTAAATTTGAGGAAGCCCACAGATAATAAAAAAACGAAAGGCAAGGTTAGAGCAAAGGAAAATTGAGAAAAGATGCAGGACAAGAAGATGCAACGAGCTGAAAGCATAATGTTTAGAGAAAGGAAAGTGAGAGAATTAATGGTGGACAAGAAGAGGCTAGTGGAGGTGCCGTACACGGCGTCGCTGGCTCACACTATGAACGCACTGGTAGCGAACAAGGTGGTGGCGGTGCCGGTGGCTGCCCCTCCGGGTCAGTGGATCGGTGCCGGAGGGTCTATGATCGTGGAGTCCGATAAGCAAACCGGGGCTGTGCGAAAGCATTACATAGGGATGGTGACAATGCTGGATATTGTGGCACACATCGCCGGCGATGATGACGGCGGCCGTTTGTACGGTGGTGATGGCACAGAGGATCTTGATCAACGGATGTCCGTCCCCGTCTCCTCCATCATCGGGCACTGCTTCGAAGGGCTTAGCTTATGGACTCTCAATCCAAATACAAGGTTAGTTACAATCACGAAAACCCCTCTCTAATATACTAACTGCGTTTTGGCCAAAAAAAATAGTTACTGCTACTCCTAAGGTACTTTTAGAATCTAAAAATTATAGACGAATTAGTTATTTGTAATTAGTGCGTAGAAAATATAGATGATAATGTCTAATTGAATGCACATAGCAGATAAGAATCTCAGTAAATATGGGATTAATATAAGAGACCTTTAAAATGCACCTTATATTTAGGATTAGAAGATTCATCTATACATGATATTTATAGATTTTCGTGTACAACCCGTCAGAATTTCAAATTTGATAAGTTTTCCTTTGGTATTGTGTCTAAGAATAGTGAAAAGTTTGTGCTTTGATCAGATCAGTGATATTGCTTATTTCAATAAGAAACGATTTGGGTTTAGCTAACCAGAACACGTAAAATTTTCAGCTATAACTTGCTGCCAAATAAATAAGATCACACTTCATCAGTCGATCGAGATCTAACTTTGTTGGGAAAATTCAAAGTGGTCTCACTTCTTTTAGACAAAATTGACTAACAACTAGGGGAAGGGCACTAGAAGCTTAGAAATAAGAATCACAATAAAGGGCAGTAGGTACATATCAGATTTGAGAATATATAACAGAAGATTACATTATGAATTGAAAGGACAAGAGGAGCTATTTCCTAGAAAGTACAATGTAATGTCTTATGTGTCACATGTTGTTTCAGAATTGACCTCAAGTTTTGAATTTGTAGCGTAATAGAAAGTATGGAAGTGCTGAGCAAAGGAGTGCATCGTGCGCTGGTGCCAATGGACAGCCAAATGGAGAACGTATCGCCCGTAGGAGTGGAACTAGTGGAATCTGCTTCCAGCTACAGAATGCTCACTCAGATGGACGTCCTTAGGTTCATGAAAGAACACTCTGCTGATTATGAGCTTCAGAGTGTTCTTTCACGCTCTGTTCACCAACTCGCCGCCATCAACCACGACGTCTACGCCATTACCGACCGCACCAAGCTCATCGACGCCATTAAGTGTCTGAAAACCGCCATGCTAAACGCCGTCCCTATCGTCACATCCTCTGATCTTGTCGACCAACAAGATCACAACCACCTCATTCACGTAAGTAATCTCTCTACATACATGATAAGTACGAGGTTAGCGTTGGGATTGAAGTTGTGGTGATATGGTTGTGGTGGTTGCAGGGGAGAGGGAGGAAGCTGATAGGGACATTCTCTGCGACTGATTTGAGGGGATGTTACGTGGCGACATTGAAGTCATGGTTGGGTACGAGTGCGCTTGCTTTCACTGAGGAGGTTGGGACGAGTCCACTCTACTCGCCCAGCAACAACGCTGCTGCCACGTGGACAAGGGAGCTGGTGACGTGTCAGGCTGAGTCACCATTGTCTGAAGTGATAGAGAAGGCAGTGGGTAAGCACGTGCACAGGGTGTGGGTGGTGGATGAGGATGGTTTGCTGGTGGGGCTTGTGTCTCTCACTGATGTTATTCGAGTAACAAGGCTTTCTCTCATATCAGATTGATCACATTATCATCACCATCATCTGGTGAGAGAGACACACACTCAACACACACAATGTAGGTGTTACATATATAATGAAGCACAACGTATGATAGAGTCTAGTATATGTACAAACATGTTTTGTGTGTTCTTATCATAACACTAATCCTATAAGCAATGGACCATTTTGTGCATACCTTCAACGGAATCACTGGGTGACCTATATGTATTGACCTGTATGTGGTTATAGTAGATTGATGAGAGATGGGTCGATCGACTTGTCACTTGATGATTAATTCATGCATGATTTAACATTGACTTAATATCTCCAAACACAAATAAACCCCCTAGTGTCGTCATAACAGAATTGGGAGCACACTGAACAATTCAAGTTCTGGATTTGGGATCAGACCTGCAAAAACAAAAAAACAAAACAAAAAGGACGAGACTTCTTGATCAATGAAAGGTCTCTCATTTCTTTTTCTTTTTTAATTACTGCTCCGATTCTAAATATAAGACCCTTATACATATCAGTATAAAGATTTTATATTTGGGACCAGAGGAGTAGATCATTTTTTTTTTGTTGCTCAGAGTATCCTCCCACCCGAACGGCAAGAAACTAATCTCTTGGAGTACTGTCAGGCGCCGTAACGGGGATCCCTCCCAACAATATTTTTCTCTATACACACCGTCCCAAGAATCGAACCCAGGACATGATGCTTAAGGTGTCCAAGTTCCTTCCACTTGGACCAACACTTGTTGGTGAGGAGTAGATCATTTTGCTTGGTAAGAGTTCGCATTTCATTCAAAAGGAAAATGTGACGTCATATCAGTTTGTCTTTAATCCGAGAACCACGAAGCCCAATGATCCGTTGCCCACAATCCAGATGGGCGAGGCGTAAGAAGGAGCATATTCAAGGAAGCCCAGTGTCAATCTCAGGATCATCCATCTCATTATAAGGTGTCCCTTTAATAAGATTATGATTAAAATGTTGTGATGTTTTTGAACAAATAAAGCAATCTAACAATTCTCCTTAATATGCATGAAAAATATCTATAATATCTTATACTACTTCCAGTTCTAATTATAAGAGCTAGTTAACTAATTTGAGAAAATTAAGAAAAAAAGTTAAATTAATTATTTGTAATAAATAGGTGTTGTCTTTCCTAATATATCCTTACTAATCAAGTTTATTGGCTAGAATTATTATTATTAGAGGAACTATTTTAGAAAAGAATGCATAAATATGGAGACAAAGTATATTAGAGTCTTATAATTAGGATCAAAATAAAAGTCAAATGAGATCTTATATTAAGGACTAAAGGTAGTATAAAGAATCCGATAGTGGAACAATAATGTGAACATTATAATACCACAATAGAAAAATGATGGCATTTTAGACTTTCCCACATATGCAACAAAGTTTGTAGTTTTGAAACCACAGTTAAGGAACTGACAATATATTATCTAGGTATCTTCAGTTAGATAATTAATTTGAGGAAATTACAAAAGAGTAGTTAAGTTGGCTAATTAATGTATACTAACCTTATTAAACTATTCTTTAATAATGTGCATTGAAATTATATCTTTTGGTAAAAATCTTTACAATTAATAGAGATATTTTAGAAAAATATTACAAACTTGAGAAGTAAAATGAATGGGGTCCTATGATTAGACTCAAATTTAATTTTTAAATAGTTTTTATATTAAAAACTAAATGCATTAATATATGAGTCACATATATTAAAAAGGCATTATTTATGGGAATTTGAGTTTTGTCAAGACGTTCAAAAAGCACGGGTGAATAAAAGAAAGTTGATATTTTGGTTTTTGAAGTCTGGCTAGGCTATAAACATTTTACTTTTACTTCAACATTGGTATCATCGCTTTCAAAAGTGCTTCCCTGCAGATGATAAAAGATTGTCTATTTTACGTCAATATCCAGCGTTATGATGCCTCCACTTATGCACTAAAAGAATTCTACAAACTTGATAACGAACAGCACAATAATATAATAGTATTTGTTTAATTACTGAAGGTAACATCTCAATCTCGCAAAGCTCCCTGATTTTATTATAAACTGTTCCAAGGAAATTTGAAAATAAGTGTATTTTGAAAAAAAATCATGTTACTCCGTTTGGCCTCTTTTTTTTTTTTTTTTCCAATTGACTGATATGATCAGAGTTCATTTTAATGATGTATATAACTATATGTATTCTATTAGGCAACTAAGCGGCTTACCTCGGACAGACGTACAAATTAAGGAGCATGCTTTCCTAGCAAATGATGTCGAGGGATTTAATAAGATATCATAACTAATTAAAACGAAGCACTATCCTACATATATAGATCCAAGCTTAAGAATATTAATAATCCCATAACTTAGATTAGGTCGTTCTTGTTCCATCACACTTAGTTCAGGCAACTAGCGCGAAACACAAGTTCAGAATGCCTGCCTGCTAGAACCAGACGTTGTTCAGAGATAATAAGAAAGTGAGATTTATAATTGTAAAAGGAAGTATTAATATATTCCTATGATTTTGTGCTGTTGATGAAAGGCTAGGTGGCGGCCAGCAGCAGCTTTTTCTCAGTTCACGACCTACGAGTCAGCCATTTGAATCTGATAAGTACGTAAGAAACAGTGGTTTCAGACAGCAGGGAGCTGCATTAAAAATTAATTTAACCCATCCTCCACTTTGCTGCTACTTTTAAATTTTAATCCCATTTTTAACAGCACCCGCCATCTCTCTCTGCTAATCTCAATCTGAACCCGCAAAAGTGGGATGATTCACTCGCTTTCACTTATTTATAGAGTTTTCAGAAAACTAGCTGTGTTTTACAGCACATTAAGAAGATTAGTTTAAAGGGAGGAGCTTTTGGAATAATGAAGATCAGAATGGGGCATATTGGGCATAAAGAAAGAAGAAAGAAGGAAAGTGAGGGGTGGGGTTGCAGAAGGTGTCGGTTGGAGAAGAGGGAAGAGAAGAAGGCGATGTGACGGGAGAGAGCATACCTCAGACGCGCACACACAGCCACCCTTATGAGAAATGGTCCCTTAGATTCCCCACATTCCCCTCGTTTGTCCCTCCCAACCTCTCCTCCATTTCTTCACTATTGTCCCGTCTTTTACAGTATTTTTTAAGTTAAAAACATGCCTTCAATATCCCCAATTTTTTTAAATCCATTCGATATTCTGATTTCTCTTATGATACAGATAGCGCTCTGATTTTTTTTTTTCATTTAGCACTTTAATTTTATTTTTAGCTTATTCAGCAGTGTAAACTTAGGGTGTTGGATAAAACTTTTAAAAAAATATTAAGCTATTAGATACACTAAAAAATGATATCAGGATGCTGAATGCAAATGCATTTTTAAAAAAGATTGAGATATTGAAGTACCTAAGGAAAAAAATCAAGATGTTTAAAGCACCTTTATCTTTTTTATTTAGAAAAATTATAAAAAATACAATTATCTTTAATTACGTGCAAATATTTTTTATTTCACATGTAGTTAAAAATAAACTTCACACAAGTCACAAAAGAAATAAATTGCACACAACTAAATGCCTTCACCAAAGATAGGTTGCACCTAGGTATGTTTGGATAATTGATATAATTCATTTCCATATGTTGTGAGTCTAAAATCTAAATATTGAGTTATAGTGATATTTATAACTTGCAAAAATAGTACTCCTTTGGTCCTTAGTGTAAGACCCATTTAACTAATTTGATTAGATTAAGGAAGTTAGGTAAGTTAGTTAATTATAAGAAAATTAACACATTTTTCCTAAAACACCATAATCATCTTTCTTAATGCCTCATCTCCCTCTTTTACTTAATTATGGTTGAGGGAGTATTCATAGGGGTAATTTAGAGAAAATTGATAAATATGATAAATGAGTCTTATATTTAGGACCAAAATCAATTTAAGAATTAGGTCCTATATTAAGGATCAGAGGAGTAGCTCGCTAAAAAGATGGTTATATATCTATCGCCAAAAATTTGTTATATATTGATATACTCCATTTGCTCTCAATTAGATACAAATATTTTCGATTAATAAACATTAATTAGGGATATATTGATGAAAAATATTTTTAATGCACAAGAGAAAAGGGACAGGTCATGTCATATCAAGGGACAAATTATAGTGCAACAAAAACTGGATTTGTATGGTCTTAATAATTGAGAATGAGTTGTAATATTTGTAATTCTCATATGTTCTTTCGGTCCTTAATATAAGACTTTATTTAACTAATTTGATTAAATTTAAAAAGTTAGGTAAGTTAGTTAATTATAAAAAATATGACACATTTTTTCTAAAACACTATAATCATCTTATTTAATATCCTCCCCTTTTTTTACTTGATTATGGTGGAGGAAGTATCAATAGAGATAATTTAGAAAAAACTGATAAATATAAAAAAATAGGTTTTATATTTAGAAACAAAATCAGCTCAATAATTAGGTCATATATGAAGAATCGGGAGAGTAATTTTTTTGGCTAAATAACTTACATACAATATGATTTATTATAAATTTTATATTTTATATTATGTTTTTCATATGCTTTTGCTTCACCAAAATAATCAATAAAAAATAAACTATAAAACATATAAAAAATAGTGCGATTTATCTTAAATTTTGTAAAGTTTGTCCATGTGTATTCACTCAATTAGTAGCTAATAAAGGTAGTTACTATTTCAAAAAAAAAGTGATTCTTTTAGAATATAAATATATTACTCAATTATTTAATTCTATTCACAGAAACTAAAACATTATAATAAGAATAGACACGTCTAAATACACACACATCTGGAGCATAAAAGTATCCTTGGGAGGCATGGATGGGGTACAAACTTTTTCACCACAAGTTTCGGAAGAAAAAGAAGAAACTGATGAAAGAATTGTTGATGTAAAAGCACAGCAATTTTAGCAAGGCGATGGGTGGAAGGACACTGCCTAAATTACGTACGGTCCCATTTAGTAATGATGAGGGAATGAGAATTATTCTGATAAACA